AAACCTATGCTTCCGCTTGAACTTAATACTTATTTATTTTGCTATTATGCTTTGAATTATTTACTGCTTCCACTTTTCGAACTAAGTTTAAGTATGTTGAACCGTGATCGTGGTAGACTTTTGAAATGAATTTGAAACGTATATTCTGTGGGATTGTTATTTTGATAACTCGAGCATGTGTAGGTTCTTGGATTGTTGGTTGTGTTTAATTGTTGTGGTTAATAAGTAGTGCCCGTTACTCGATAAATGTTTTAACTTGGATTAAAAAGAAAATAATAACTCTGTTTTTTTTATTAAATAAATGCGGTAAATTCTTTAAAATAAAACGAGGCGTTACAGTGCTCCAACATTCCCCAGGTAAGAGGGGGAGGTTAATCCACACGGGAATGGTTTTAATGTCATCTTTCCCGGATTGGAACCAATTAGGGAGTACTTTAAGGATGAGCCCTCGACCATAGATAGTGTAGGGCCCTCCATGAAGTACCTTCTCCTATCTTCTTCGTTTTTGAACTTGAAAAAAATCCACCCATTGACGTTGGCAATGTATTCGTATCAAACTCCCCACGAGTTACATAGCGTCAACAAAGCCTCTTTGCCCAGGTGTCTATGTGTAAAGTACCCGACAAGTCAAAAGCCCCATGCACGTGTAATATCCAATAGGTCTTTGTCATCTAGGTTCACTCCATTATCCGGCGGTATGTAGTCCAATTTAAGGCCAAGCGAAGCCTTGCGGTTATCGACAAATAGGGCTGAGAATGGCCTCTTCTCTCTTTGTGGCATTTTGTCGAGTACCTTTCGGTCGCCTTTGTTGGAGCGAGTATTGCCGTTTTCCTTCAAGAGTTGATTAGCCACAACCTGCTCCTCAGCTACCTTGTGCCTATCAACCGGTATAGAAGAGCCAGGGATAGCCATCCTTACCTCATTTGCATCTCCATTGTCTGCCTTGGAGGTTGAAGTGAAAGCATTTAATTCAGCCACTAATGGTTGTTCTTCATCTGAGCTCTCTTGGGAAGCATCGCCTTGCTCATAGAAGTGACCCGAACACTCCTCCTCCGTCAATTTCCATTATCGGAGTTTCTTCTTAGATTTACCCATGAAGGTGAGTGGATAGTTGTGCGTGAGTTCTCGATCAAGTATTCCCTCTCAAATTGAATGGAGGCATGAAAATAACAAATGATTATCCACTTTCTTTCAGCAAAATCGAACCAGGATTGCAAAGGATTTCAATGCAATTAGTTGTGCGCTTGAAGCACTTGTTCTCGAATTGACGGACTTCTCACTCAAATTCTTCAAAATATGGCTTGAGTAGCTATGAAAATATCAATGGAATGGAAATCGAGAGTAGCTTTCATGTGGAATCATCAATTGGAAATCTAAGGATTGAGCTCAGAAACGACAGGCACTTGGTGAACCTAGTGAGAAAATCTCTTCCTTCTCTCTAACCCTTCTGATTTTCCCCTGACTACTTTATCCTTAAATATTTTGGTTGTGCCTGTTATCCTTTTCTAAGACCTTACAACAAACACAAATTAGAAGATAGGTCCCAGATTGCCATCTTCATTGGGTACAGTCCTCCACGTAAAGGTTACAAAATCCTTCTTAATAATAAAAGAGTGATCGTCAACAGAAATGTGATATTTGATGAAACCTTGTTTCCCTTAGCCAAACATGATGAACATCCCACATATGTTGATGAGAGAACTCTCTTTTCTAATATCATCCCCACTGTCAATCAAAATCCTATAAACAGGTCCCATACAACTCACACTGCAACCCATTCTGAAACCTTACCAACATCATCTTCTCTTCAACCTATACCTATATCTCCTAACACTCAATTTCCTGATTGTGATTTGATTATGGAATTACCTATTGAGAATGCACCTGATAATGTTGAGGAAACTAACCCTTTCAGTGACAGTTCAAGTCAAGAAAATGAAACAGGTAGACACCAAATGATAACAAGATCCAAGACTAGTAGTTTGAAGCCAAAACCTTATGCTGATGTTCTTAAGGAGAATGTTGAGCCAACCTCCTATCAAGAGGCTTTAATGATTCCCTCATGGAAGCAAGCAATGGAAGCTAAGTTTAATGTATTAATCAAAAACCAAACATGGGAGGTTGTTCCTCTACCACATGATAAAAGCATAGTGAGTTGCAAATGGATTGAAAGTGAAGAAAAACTCTGAAGGAGACATTGTGAGACACAAAGCTAGACTAGTTGCTAGAGGTTTCACTCAAATTGCAGGCTTGGACGACACTGAAACCTATAGTCCAGTGGTAAAACCTACCACTGTGAGGTTGGCAATTTCTCTTGCCTTAAGCAAAAAATGGATCATCAAGCAACTTGACATTGAAAATGCCTTTATTAATGGTGAACTTGACAAGGATATTTATATGCAACAAGTTCCAGGTTTTTAAAAGTTTGGCAATGGTGGACAAGTTTTTGTCTGCAAGCTCAAAAAATCTCTCTATAGGCTAAAACAAGCATCAAGGGCATGGTGTTCCAAACTAGCTCAATTTGAAGTTATTTGGTTTCAAGAACTCAGCAGCAGACAACTCCCTCTACTTCAAATCAGACATGATAGTCCTCACATATTGTTGATGATATTATTGTGGCAGGACCATCTTAAGAAGACATTGACAAATTTAAAGAGGATCTGAACAAAGTGTTCACATTGAAGGATCTAGAAAATTTATATCATTTTCTTGGAATCCAGATAGATAGGGTGGATGATGGACTCATTTTGAAGCAGGAAAAATACATCCTTGAGATTCTTAAAGCATCTGGCATGAATGATGCTAAAAGTTTGAGTTCTCATATGGTATCCAACGCTCCACTGTCTAAGTTTGATGGAAATCAAACCCCTGATCCTACGTGTACATAAAATTGATTGGAGCCTTGCAATATGCCACCATATCTAGACCAGAGATTGCTTTTGGAGTGCATAGGCTCAGCCAATTCATGCAAAATCCTTTATCAAGTCACTGGAAGGCATTTAAAAGAGTGCTCAGATATTTAGCAGGGTCATCCAATCTTGGATTGCTTTTTAGAAAAGGATCAACCAACAAACTAACTGCTTTTGCAGATGTTGATTGGAGTTCGGATATTGATGATCGAAGGTCAACATCTGGCCATTGTTTGTTCTTAGGAAACAACTTGACTTGGATGTCAAAGAAGCAAGGGGTTGTGTCTAGATCAAGCATGGAGACCGAATGTAGAAGCATTGCAGAGGTAACTTGTGAACTTATTTGGATAAGATCCTTGCTGAGAGAACTAGGAATGGATCCAACAGATCCTTCAATAATTTGGACAAATAATTTGGGAGCAGTGTCCTTGTCAAATAATCCAGTCTTTCACTCATGAACAAAACATTTGGAATTGGATTTACACTTCATAAGAGACAAGGTATTGAGCAAAACAATCACAGTCCAACATGTCATGGGAACCGATCAAGTCGCTGCTGATATTCTGACTAAGCCGTTAAGTAGACAATTTTTCACTCGCCTAAGGAACAAGTTAAACATGGTAAACTCTAGCTCGTTCAAATTGACGGGGGTGTTAAAACATTAAAATATCAGTCCACCTTATCATTTCCAGCTCAGCAAGATAGCTCCAAAATGTCTCTCACGTGCTCTAGCCCCTCATGTAACATGCATGAACACATGCAGCCAAAATTATCAAAAGGACCCACAGCTAGCTTAGTATTTTAAATGTAGGGAATATTCCTATTTGATGCTTTTCTCATCCTATTTTGTGTGGTCCAAGTTAAGCATTGATGTAATATAATAGTAATAGAGCCTAGAGCATGCAGTCATCATATTGAATACATATCTACTCATATCTTTTATATGCTCTTAGTTTTAGATTTCTAAATCTTCAAGAATATCCATGGATTTATTGTTCTTAAGTTTTCAAACCAATTAGGCTATGGGGGTCGGCTTAGGGTACTTATTACAACTTTGTTCCATAAGAAATAAAACAGTTTCAAAAACTGGCCAGGCATCGTGCTTATCATGTTTGATTTCATGAATAGGAAAGGAGAATTATATCATAGTTCCTAGGGACAATTTCAAGCGGATCCATGAAGAAACAAATGGAACAAATTATATTAAGATCTTAACCAAGACTTGAGAAACTTTTTTGGGACCGTCTACGGTCAGGTACCCCTCGTACATACCTAACATCAAGTACTACTTATATCACCATTAGATTGACACAGAAATCAAAGTCAACCATCAGATTCAAGGTACGAGGTGGTACGAAGCAAAAAAAAAAAGAATTTTGATCGCCTCGTACTTGTCTCGTACACCTCGTACTTGCAAAAAACCTATAATACCTTTACTTCATTAAAAATTAAAATTTACATTAATAACTTATAAAATGATGACAGTACCAAGTCTGTAGCCTAGGTCTAGGGTCAGTGGGTTATTTGGCTTGTGTATGTTTGGTTCATGTGCTTGTATTTTCATAGCTGTGTTGTAGTTCTAGTTCAGGGTTCTCTGTGCTGTTGTTCAGGTCTTTGGTTTGCTCCTTTGGTTAGTGTTTTTATGTGGTTTGGATGATTGTTAGTAGCTTTTTTAGGCAAGCTTGTGGCTTGGTCTATCATTTGTTCGGAATTGGGGTTTTTCCCTTGTACTCTTTTGCTACTTTGTTATTAATGGAGCTGTTATATCGTTGGAAAAAAAAAAACTTATAAAATGATAATTGTATTTATTTTGAACACCATACATAAAGAAGGTATTACGATAGGTGAACAGGCGTTGCGGATTATATTATTTGTATAGTAATCCTTCAAATACAAAAATATATCATCACAACTTTAACATTTAATTTACGAATTAAATTGTTCTTGTTCTTCAAATTGTCCTTCAATTTCTTCTAAAGAAAAAAGGACGGATGACATTATCCTCGCCATTCATCAATCACTCATCGAACACCTTTTCCTTCTTCCCCAACACCGCATCTCTGCTCTCTGTTTCTAGACTAGAAAAAAAAAATGTTGGCTGTTGCTCAAATTTCTTCTTTCATCTTTTTCCTTTCGGTCGCCACCTTCCACTCACTATCTCAAGCAATTGCTCCAAAATCCACGGACCCCATTCTCTACGACATTCTGCCCTTCATACGCGTGTACAGAAATGACACCGTTGAGAGATTTATCGGTCAGGATTTCGCCCCGGCGGCATCCTCTCCAAGGAAGTCAAATTCTCTGACAAATTAGGCCTCTCGGCCCGAATCTATCTCCAGTTCAGAAAACCCCGCGGATCTGGGGAACTCCCCCTCCTGATCTACTTCCATGGCGGCGGCTTCTACACCGAGTCCGCCTTCTCACCGTCCTACCACCGCCACCTCAGCCTACTCGCGGTGAGAGTCGGGGTTGTGGCGCTGTCCGTTAAAAATAGATTAGCCCCTGAAAACCCTCTCCCCTGAAATTGATCATGCTGCCACCCACTTATCAATTACTAAAAAATTGGTTATTAATTTCACATTATTCGTGGCAGGTTGATATGCTCTAGAAACACCACCTTTTAACAGCTTGACCATCATCATAATTATTTTTTACATTAGGGCTACAGTACGAATAGCAATACAGAATTAAGCATCTGACAAACAAGAACAGATACATTAATAGAAATAATAATTTTGTTTCTTGAGAGTGAGTGCAGAGTAGATGTTCTCCACACAACCATGGTCGACTGCTTAATTCACGAATCAGTGAACAGACTCGAAAGGTTGAACAGACTCCCGAATCAGTGATTCACGACAAATGCCATTTTAGTAACAATTTGTTGCTTAATTGAAATATGTAAACTAGTACGAATCCCGTGCGATGCACGAGATACATATTAATATTTATATTAAACGATGGGATATACGTTAATAACATAACACGTAGAGAACTAAAGTAAAACACAACCACACGTATGTCTATGTATTTGAAAATAAAATTAAAAACATAACCATTTGCTTATATTGTCAACATCTTACTGCGTAGCAAAATTACAGAAGTCAAAATAAAACATTGAGAAATCGGTAGGATACTCCAACACTTAAAATAACAAATATTGACAACTACTATTAAATCACATAATGAAGAATACTAACATCACTATCGTGGAAAACTATTTCCAAATAACTTCTGTAGGAGGCATCAAACATCGTCTTAAAGATGCTGCTGGAAGTTTCAAGATGACCTCCGTATTTCATTTAAAATCCTTGATTAGACCAAGGGTTGATCCATGTCTTTATTTTGAATGTGTGAGTTTATGATTAGTATTGGATTTCATTTTACCATGAATGCGAGTTTATTTATAGATGAAATGTTGGTGCTTATATATGCACTTATTTTCTAAGTTTTAAAATGTGGATTTATATGATATAAGCTTATTACTTTTTTTTTTTATTTTTTTTTCCCAAAACGATAGATTATATTATAAATCAAAATGCACAAATGTGCGGATACACAGCAGCCAACGATAGATGATATAAGCTTATTACTTGATTTGATCCTTTTTTTTTGGCGATTTTGAGGGAAATCGGATCATATCCCAAGAATATCCTAAGACTATTATTTTTTTTTTCGATTCTAAAACTATTCCAATCATATTCTGTATTTATTCTTAAATGTATAATTTTTTTTAAAAATGGTAATAAAGAATGTTAGTAATTTGAGGTTCCCAAAATTTTTTATGTTCTTATTTTTTTTAATCAAATATGTATATTATTTGACATATTCCTTCAAATCGCAGACTTTATTACAAAGTTATATATTTTTTTATATAGTTGCAATACGTTAAGTCAATAATTTTAAAATATTGTACTTTTTTAACTGATTTAGTTAAAAGTTGATATAAAGTATGACCTCACCAGCCATAGTCTTGCAAATCAAATATCATTGCAAAAAATAATTTTAAGTAACATGTGAATAATATATAAATCACACATGTACCAAAGAAAATTGGTATAACCATAATTTTTATTTTATTTAAAATTACAATTTTTCATATTTTTCTTTTTTATTTCTATATTTAGAATATTATTTTATATAGTATATTTTCTCCTATTAAAATTTTTATATATTGATGGGTCTACTTCCGGATCTGGAGTAAACCGGTGGATGTGAGCTCAGATCTGCTTGAACCGTTTCCAAATCGTTGCTAGACCGCGGGATACCTGCAAAAGCTCAACGCTGGAGGTGTTTCCGGCGTAAAGCCTCCGACGCTCAAGTCAGTATGAGAGTGATGAAGAGATGCTGCGCAACAGCTATGGGGGAGAATGGGAATGAATGAGAGTTAGGGTTTGGGATTACCTCATCTCCTTTATATAGGAGTGAATACTTACTTGAAGTGCCCAAAATGCCCAAGTCGGTGGACCTAGAAGGTCCAAAATGCCCTGGTCGATCCGTCTCCCCTTGTTGCTGAGTCATCACAAGATTCCTTCTTATCCATTATAATATACGGAACTTCAAGTGTGCTACAAGTGTGATGAGTTGTCCTCACATCTCTACTATTCGAGGTGTGCGGGGTCGACTTCAAGAGCTAGGAGGTCGACTTATGGGTATGTGCGGATTCGGAGGCTACGCTTGGATAACTCTCTGGGGTGAAGTCGTCTTCATAGAGTCATTTTAGTTGAGTCGACTACTGGGAGTCGACTTAGGATATCGGGATGCTCAGGCGTTATGCTCTTTCTGTTCTTCTTCCATTGATGTCGACTAGTGAAAGTCGATAGACTAAGGTCGACTTGCGATAGTCGACTAGACTAAGGTCGACTTGCGAGAGTCGACTAGACTAATTTCTGTCTCTTCTCGGTTGCTCTTGGTGGAATTGACTTTAGGGAAGTCGATCTGGGCATGTCGACGAGGTCATGTCGACATGCGAGTTGTTCGAGTGGTTCACCGGTCGAGTAGGGGGCCTCTGGACCGGGTTATCCTTATGTGGCTATATCATCGAGTCCCCCCTTAAAAATTACTCTAAGCAGTCGACTGATTAAGAGTAAATTTGGTTATCGATTTCTTATCTCGTCATTTATTCCTCGATATCGAGGCCCTTGCCTTGTAACCCCACGGTGCCGTTGTAAGATCTTATCGTTACCTTCTGGATAGTTCTGACAGCCTGACATCTTTTTTTTTCGAATTTTGAAATTCAAATCTGTACTTATCACATCGCTTCAACTCCGGCGCCTCGAATTCCGTGACTCATCCGGACCGTTAGATTTCTATTGAATCTAATGGTTAAGATTCTCCTCCATCCTGTATAAATATCTTTTCCATCGGCCCCAAATCACTTTTCACTTCCTTCTCAAATTCTCTTTTGAGCTTTCGAACTTCTCCGGCAATAAGGCGCTTCCGAGCTTCATCGGCAATCAGTTCTCCAGCAACCACTAGTTTCTTCAAGACCATTTTAGCAGCAGTCATGCGTAAGTATTGTGCTCTCTCCGTATCTTTTGCCTTTTTCTTTATTTTTCGTGATTTCTTGCATCTTTTTCTGGGTCTCTCTGATCTTGAAAACCCTTGCGTGTTCTTCATGTTCCCATCCTTTTGTGTGAATCTACGGGTTAGATCCTCCTTACTTAGAAATTTCCTTGGATTTTCTGTTTGCCCCTGCTTCGCCCATCACAGGAGTCGAGTTTTCCTTATTTAAGTCGTTTTATATTGGTTATGCATCGACATGCACTGTGTCCTTCTCGTCTTTATGATTAGGTTAAGTCGAGCACCACTCCATGGTTCCACTTATCTCGGATCCATTTTCCCGCCGTTTCCTTTCTATTCTTCTGGCTCGACTTGTGATGATCTCCTCGAGTCGACTTGCCTCCTATTGGTGTTAACTCTTGCTTCATACTGACTTCTTTTCGTCTGATCTTGACTTCTTTTTTGTTTCTTTTTCTAGATTCTGATTCCGACTCTTCGCCCGACACTGTCGAACGTCTGATCGACGCAGGCGCTCAATCATCTGATTCAGTACAAGTAGTCGGCTTCAAACTAGCCGATCAATCTCAAAATTCTCATTCGGATGTATCTTCTTTCGGCATCGATCAAGATGCTTATAAACAAGCATGGATGTCAGGTGTCTTGGCTGAAGATCCCGAGTCTTCCCGCGCTAAGGAGTCTCCTCGTCTCGACCTCATTCCCCGAGGTATTCCCCTTAGGATCTTGGATCTACATGTATATAGAACTAGTCCTTCTTCTCTGCCCATAATCGCGCCTCTTCCCGAGGCTCGAGATGTTGTTTCTATAGCATGTCCTTTAGCTAAGATAGCTGTTTTAAATCCTTTTTGTTATGCCTCTGCAGCTGAGGTCGAGGGCTTTAGGGTGTACAGCGGTCTTCCCGCCGACTGGGAACTCGTTATTCCCAAACCTAATGACGAATTCGCTAACCCTCCACCTGGCTTTTACACCTTTTTTTATCGACCAAGTGTTATTCGGACTCCGTTTTCCCATTCAACCAGAACTTCGCGCTATCAGCGACTTGTACGATGTACCCATAAATCAGTTTTCTCATAATGCGATTCACATCATGATCGCCTTCATTGTTGTATCCCGAATAAAACTTAGATATTTCTCTCCAGAGTTCCTTTTTTACTGTTATAGTTATCGATTCATAAAAGGCGCCCATTGTTTGGGACGTCGCGCTGGTGTCACCTTTCTCGATGACCTTTCCTCTAATGTCACTAAGTGGAAATCAAAGTTTGTTTTTATCCGACCTGCTTCCGGCACATATCCATATCCGAACACTTGGATTACCTCTAAGGTTAAACAAAATAAACGGCCATGGTGCCCCAAATTCGAGTCGATGCTGGTCGAACTCAATAAGAATACTTACAAAGCTCGCCCGCTGATAAAAGAGATGTTCCTCCTTAATCATGTTGGCCTTGTTGTCGACGAGGATCTTCCTCGTCTCGACGACCCTCGTAAGTGATTTTCATGCTTTCACTATTTTGAGTCTTTATGCTGATATGTCTGATACTTAATGCTTGTTTGTAGATTCTGTTCTTGCCCGGTTTGAGAAGTCTAAGAGTGATGGGAAATCCGCTGCTCGACCTTCCCCTCAGAAGAAACCCGACGGCGGCTCGGGATCAGGTGCGAAAGAGGTGGCTGCCGAGACGACTGCCATCAAGAAATTGAAGGTTGCACTCCCGCCCTCGGGGAGTCAAAAAAAGGTTTTGGGCTCGCTTCCCCAGAAGCGGGCTCAAGATGCGGGTGCGTCACTCTTGTCCCTGGCTCACTCAAGCTCTAGAAGACTAAGGACAAGGGCAAGGCGGTCGAGCAAACTCCTCCTCCCGGACAGCTCGAGACGGTCACCCTCGAGAGTCCCTCCCGACTTTGGGATCACCCTCATCCCCACGAGATCGCTAAGTATTTTGACTCCATCATCCCTGCTGCCGACAAGGCCCGTGCCGACCGTGATCCCTACGACCGTGCTAGTCATGCGCTC